GGGGGGGGGGGGATAATCACTCAGATAAAGCTTCTAACATGTACCTTTAAGTTCTGTTGTCACCTGTAGTTTAAGTTCTCCCATTAGTTCTTTTATACTATTTCTAGCTTTCTGAAGTGCTTGTAGATGACTTTTGTTTGTTTTCCTTTGATTATTCTCTTATCTTATTGATCTTATTTTGCTAGTGAGCAGGATTGAGTTAAAGGATGGAAAAAAAAATACTCCCATCTTCATCTGGAGGCTACGACATTGATTCCTGTGGGATGCATTTGGGTCAAAGGATATCGAGGCCAGTTGATTTGCCTGAATTTTCCTGGACTCCAGAATCACGATTAAAAGAGAATGGTCCACTCTTATTCACCACAGAAGAAAACACCCGTGAGTTAACTGTAAATCAATCAAAGTCTGCCTCAGTGGTTGCTCTCGGAGATAGTTTCCAGCATCAATCTAATTATCAGAACAGTGTCGAAGGATACACTAGTAGTTTGAAGGCCCAAGAAAATGAAGTTAAAAGTATAAACCATTACCCTTTATGCACGCAGCAATCTACACAGCACCAGCATCCACTCTGGAAATATGATTTTCCAATTGGGGAGACACCTGATTCACTAAATTGGGTATCACAGACAAATAACATGCTTGCACAAGCTGACACTGGTAGATCCTCTTCAAAATCCGATAATTCGTATACTGGAAAATCTCAGATTCATCCTCATCAGGGCTATTTGATTTCTGGGAACCCTGATGTCACCTCTAGGATGCCATTGGAGTATAATGTTTCCACTGGAGTTGTGAGAGAGTTTGGAGCAGTTGAGCAGATATCTTCTCAGCACCATTCCTCATATGCTTCTTCTCATGGAAGAGGTTACCCTGAAGAAGCCAATAAATTTGGAAATTCTTGTGTTTTGAAACAAAGTCTTAAGTATTCAAACAGATCTGGAAGTAATATCCCCTGTTGGTGGAATAGAGATATTCTCTCAAGGGGCTCGGCTTCTACTGACCAAAAGGCTGGTGGAAAGTCATTGCATACCAAGGCTCAGAATTCCATTGGTTCTTTTGATAATCGTGTAGACACACTTGAAAGTAGAGGAAGAAGTCACATGGAAGGTGATATGAAAAAGGACCTGAAAGCAATAGCTAAGGAGAACATCAAAAGTTCTTTGACAGATGACCTCTCCTCCAAACATGTCCACTCTCCATCAAATTGTGTTCAACATGTTGAATCAAATAAGTCAATCCATAGTTCTCACAGATTAAATGAGAAGAGTAGGTTACCGTCTAATAAGATGTCTCCTGCAGCTGAAAAGCTATGGGAAGGATCTCTTCAGCTAAGCTCATCTTTTACCGTTTCTGTGGTGGCTTTCTTCAAAAGGTCTTTCCATTTACTTTTCGTTTTGGTTTTCAACTTTTGCTTATAACTTCTTACAAACTGCAAGCTACCTTAGAAGTAATACTAAGTTTTTACTTTATATTATTGAGGGGTTGTCTGCTGTAGATTAATCTTGGCATTGATGTGGCAAATTATATGTTAAAAGATTCCCCATTATCTCGTTTAAGTCATGTCTGAAATGCTGCTCCTTTGCATGTTGATCTTATTGTTTTCTATGTTCTTCTGTAGCACTACTAAATTGCTTTGTGACTGCATTTAGTTTTGATGAACTTCCAACCCAAAAGCCAGACTTTAACGTGCATCACAATTTCATTAGTTCCTCCCTCTTAGAATTAGATCTATATAAGAAATCATGGCACACTTGATGCATGTTACATATGTTTTAAAATAATATTCTGGTGTTATTCACTTTAGGCATAGATAAATAAATTCAAAGTGGAATGATATCTTAGAAAAAATTAAGAAAATTAAGCAAACAAAGAAAAGAAGGAAATAATGGATTAAAAAGCTGAGTGGAGAAGATGTCCGTCCAAAAAAGATTTGCTAGGAGATTGGGACTAATTTGTTGTTTAGAGTTTTTGGAGAAACCAAAGAATGCTAGGGTGTTGACGTTTAACCTTTCTCTTCCTAAGCCCAAGTGGATTCTGGCCAACTACTTAACTTTTGCTGCTATATACTGGACCTACCCAAGCATAATTTAGCTAGCTGATTCCAAAATGATTTTGCATGGAGGGGAAGCTGCTGGAATGTTGATATTGAAGTCAGAGTTAAGAACTTGCAGCAATTAATCAGTGGTGCATAAGCAAAAATTACGGAAGGTAAAGAGAACTATAAGAAAAGAGCCAGAAGAGATGGATTTTTGAGGATGTTGAATACATGCTGAGACGAGGAAGGGATCTGTAACTATATGGCGAGATTGAGAGAGAGATTTAGAATCGGGTAAAACAAATAAAGAAAGAGAGCATGAATAGGAAAAGAGAACGATTATGTTGAAGAAAATCCATCATTCTTAATAGCAGCAGAGGAATTACTGGAGTAGAAGAAAAAATCAGATTTTTTTTTTAACTTGGTAAGGTTGTATTATATCACAAAACAGTACATGGGTTGTACTGAAACCTTATATACAAAATTCCCAAATTCTTACTGCTCTATGGCTAAATTGAGTCTAAAACATCAATTATAGAGACAGTATCATTTGAGTCATTTGAGTATAACTGATTACACCAAAAACATAATAGCAAAATGCAGTTGAGCTTCACTTTCTGCACACTATTTTCTATGCTCTCAAAACACCTAGAGTTCCTCTCTTTCCATATTGCCCACCATATTGAAGCAGGGATAAGTCTCCATCTGCCTCTGTCTTTTTTTTTGAACTTGGTAAGGTTGTATTATATCACAAAACAGTACATGGGTTGTACTGAAACCTTATATACAAAATTCCCAAATTCTTACTGCTCTATGGCTAAATTGAGTCTAAAACATCAATTATAGAGACAGTATCATTTGAGTCATTTGAGTATAACTGATTACACCAAAAAACATAATAGCAAAATGCAGTTGAGCTTCACTTTCTGCACACTATTTTCTATGCTCTCAAAACACCTAGAGTTCCTCTCTTTCCATATTGCCCACCATATTGAAGCAGGGATAAGTCTCCATCTGCCTCTGTCTTTTGCCAGTACTCCGGCTTCCTCCCAGCTCTTTAAAGTCTCTGAAACTTTCCCAGGCATAGTCCAGGAGATGCCTTTGTGACTCAAAAAAATCCTCCATAGTTGAGTGTGCTTGCAGTGTAAAACAGATGATTTACATTCTCTAAAGTCTCCCCACAGAGAAAGCATCTAGAGCATAAGGTTATCCCTCTCTTCATGACATTGTCTTGAGTAAGAGCTGCTTCCTTGGCCAACAACCAGACAAAGCAAGATACATTGTAGGGTATTCTGCTTTTCCATATTTGTTTCCATGGACAATTTTTAATTTGTTGGTTTGTCTGATCCATTAGCTTATAAGCTCTATTAACTTTGTATACTCCTCTATTGTTTCCTGTCCACCATAGAACATCCTTCCCTGTTTGAAGTCCATTGAAAGGTTCCACTGTGTTAAGAAAATCAGCTACTCTCTGAACCTCCTAGTCATTTTAGATGTCTTCTGAAGTTGAAGTTCCACCCCTGTAGTGTCCATAAATCTGCTATAAACCCTTGCTGAAATGTAACTAAGTTGTAAACATCAGGAAATAACTCTTCCAAGTTGCCTTTCTCATGCCAATTATCCTTCCAAAACATGGTCTTTCTCCCATCAAAAACTTTCACCTTTGAGTTGTTCTTCACTTCATCCCATAGATTCCTATGCCTTTGAGTTGGATCTTCTTTTCCAATTGCCTTTTGCTTAGTTTTTATCAAAACTATGGTCTTTCATTAAAATTCTTCCGGTTTAACCTGTAATACTATTACAACATGTGACACATCATTGGTGTGAGAGAATATAGTGGGCTTTTAGTAGAGCAGAGTCCTTTCTGTTAGAGCTCACCTTTGATTATAGCCCCTCTGAATTGGCTTATTTAGGTGCTTTTAAGTCAAGGTAGCTTTTAAACAGTTTTGGAGAGTTTGGACAAAAAAGTGCTTATAAGCACATGTTTTTAAGCCAAAAGGCAGAAGTTAAGAGTTTTTAAATTTTGGTTTATAAGTCAAAAGTCAATTCAAAATAGGCTCTTAATCGTTATAATTTTTATGCAAATTAACATTATAATTGATCTGCCTATATGGATATGGGCAATCCTGTCACGCCTCAAGGCTACCCCCTTGACGGTAAACACGGGACCTAGGATCACGAATGACCCCAAGCTAACCCTGTCTGGCATAACATAAGCATACTGACATTATCTAAGAAAACAAGAACTAATGCGGAAGCTAAAACAATAGTTAACTGAATGTGGGGAATACCCAATACTGATCTGAATATATATAAATAATATTTTAAGAGTTTAGTGATACTGAACAATCACTTAAAACTAAAGCTGAGTCTAACACTGTCTGAAAAAGCCTCTAATTGACTAGAGTTGCTGGGACATGTCCCAAGCTAACCCTAGCAAAAACTGAAATAAAAGACCGAAATGGAAAACATGTCTATTGTCCTCGAAGTATGAGGACTCACTACTGAAGCTGCTGAATACCTGAATGCTGAGGACCTGAACCTATATCATGAAAGGATGTAGCGCAGAGTATGCGTCAGTACTTGGAATGTACTGAGCATGCATGACATAGAATATAACTGAACAAATATGTAAGCTGAACAAAGCATGACTGAGCAATGACATAATCTGAACATAATGTAAATACTGAAATGAACTGAATGCAATGACCAAGTACTGATTATTAACATGACATGCTGAGACTAAATACTGAAATATAATTGAAAACCTGGTCAAATGCATTAGTGTCTGACTGTGGGAGCTACTATTAACCGAAATAAAACCACGATAAAACCACATGAGCTAAATGTGGAGTCCGATGTATACGCCCCATCGAGAGGACCCAATATACCTTGCCAGGGGTATAAAGGCATGACTGATGTGATTTCTAAATCTGGTGCCCACAGAGAGGACTTATAAACCTACGGGGGCACGTAGTTTTGGGACTATGAGGGTATGTTGAACCCTAGTCCAACTCGGTGCTAAGCCTATTCCCAACTGGAAATGTGTATGACACAACATAATTGAAATACTGGATAGCTCAATATTCTGACATGCAAATCTGAGAATGCAACATTTATGTACTGACAATGAAACATTCGAAACTGGAGCATGTATATCTATTTAACTGACATGGCAAGTGTAATTCATTAACTAAGAGAATCTACACAACTAGGGTTCTGAGTTTCATGCAAGGAACTAAAAAATGATTCCACAAAACATGACAATCTGATTACGAATACTATAACAACTAAATCACAACCAATATCTAAGGTTTTAGAAACCTTAGGTCTAAGCAAGATATAGCGAAGCAAGAATCTGACTGAATTCTAGGGACCTAGTAGATGAAAGGAACACCCATTAGTAAAATCCCACATACCTGGTGACGAAATCTACGGAGAATTCCTTCGATTTTGGGGCTGGAACTGAAGAAAACCTGCTGCGTGTTCTTGAGGGGTTTGGTCGACTCTTTCTCCTCTTTTGCTCTAAGTTCGATGAATTTTTGGTGAATGAATTGCGTAGGGTAAGTTCTGACTATGTTACTAGGCTTAAACTGACCAAAACGACGTAGTTTAGGGGTTAAACGACGTAGTTTAGGTGTCCAATGCATAGGGGAAAAGACCAAAACGACCCTAACTTAAAAGCTGACGGGGCCATCGACGGACCTGACTGACGGACCGTGGACTGACCGACGGTCCGTCTTGGCAGGGCGTCATTTGTCTTCAGAGAGCTGGTGCTGAGGGTCACGATCCACGGACCTGGACCATGGACCGTGGTCTGACCTACGGTCCGTAGGTCCGGCCGTGGGTCGTGTCTTTACTGAACTTTCTGGGTGGAGTTGTGGTGACCAACCACGGACCCCACCTACGGTTCGTGGCTTATATATGGATTGGGCAATCCTCCCCTCATGAGTTAATTTTGGGGTTGAGTTAGGTCTAGATACCATATCTTTACAATTTGGTGGAATGCTCTAGAACCTTAGAACTTGTTGCTATATTTTTTTAAAAATTATTTTGTAGAACATTCCTATAATTCTAAAAAATGGTTGCCTGTTACGTGTATGTGGTGTATGCACTGGCCAATATCCAGGCAATCTTCTCTTTGATCATTTTTGTGATAAGTGTTAGCTGAAGAGTCCTCCTTCTGTTATGATGTACACGGATAGAAGATAACTAAGCTTTTGATGACCTAGTTAAGACATTAAGAACTCACCATTACCAGTTTTTAAAAAAAAGACATTTAAGAACATGTATCAGCGCCGCAACTAGTGGAGAGATTGAATTAGGTCTTTCATTAAGTTGTAGAAACACAATCAGTAGTAAGGTTATCACTCACCATACAGGTGTAGCTTGAGCACTTGGTCCACGAGCAATCAAAACACATCCTTCAATCAATCTATAACCGCACGATATCTATCTAGTATCAACTTTCCGAGAGTAGCATCACCATATCCTTATTTGCTTATTTTGATCTGATATATGTGAATATAAAGAATACCATATTTCATTATATATTCAAAACACAGCTTTATTTTTATTTTTGTTGGGTTCCCTGGGAAATTATTTTCCATGGCTCTTACAATTGAAAGATATCTGGCCCTTTTGTGTTTGATAGTTGTCTATTCAGGCATAATTCATAAATCATACAAATCTCAATGCTTAAATGTGGAACTATTTTAAGGTATATCACATATTCCAGTTCATGTTGAGTGCAGTTAAGAGAAAAGGGAAAAAAGAAATTGTGTCAGTGGGATGTGTAGTAAGAGCTTGTGTGGTCTTTTATATTGGAGAGATGCCTAGAATTCCTGCATGACGCCTTTTTTGATATGACAAGCACACTGAGCTTACTTCTAAATTGTCCACCAGAACAGATTTGGGAATTTTTACATCTCTTCTACTGTAGGTAGTTTCATGTGCGTTCAATTTAATTAGTTATGTTCTTGAATTGTCTATTTGATTCAATGTAGTTAGCTTAGTTCTAAGTTCTAATAGATTTTCTTGGACATGTTTAGTCTTTACTGACTGTTCAGTATGATGGCTCTTTCAGTATGAAGTTTGGCAGGCATTTTATCTGTATTCAGGAAAGATTTTCATCTTTCATGGTTACCTATTTAATAACTTCATTTTAGCTGTTTCTACTATTGAGCATTTTCTATAGGGCTTTCCATTTTCCATGTTTTTGTTCATAATTTGACGTGCTCTTGTGCTGATCCTCTTAACATGTGATGCCGATGGATCTATTTCTGTTCACTTGATTTGTAGCATTATAGACCTGCATGCATGGCAAGCTGCTTTCTGTCTCTTCTTTGATGATTATTGGTGTCCTCTATATTTTGTTGACCCTATGAATGATGAATTTTATGTAGCGGTGAGAAGTTGCTTGATGTCAAGTGGTCTGAATTTGTAGTAGCTAAAGGCAGAGTAAGATTAGATGACTTCGAAAAATACATCAAAAATCTTCCTAGTTCAAGCAGTCGGGCACTAACGGTAAGACTTGTTATCTTTGTTCTGTTACTTAAACTGGGCTTTTTAATACGGAGAGTTAACATGATTCATTTGTGATAGATGCCTAAAAAAATTTCAGAAAAAGATGGAAGAAGAAAATATGCCTTTTTTCCTTTGAGATTTCAGCTGAAAAGTAGAAAAATGAAATGGTTAATAGAAAATTAGAAGAAGACATGAAACATTACTTTTAATATGAGATGCATTTCGCTAGTCTCTGATTACTCACTTCCTCCTCGGTCCTTAAAAAGAAAAAAAGAGAAGAAGAAGTCACGTGTTTATTGGCTGCCTAAACTTGGTGATCCAAGAATTGTATCTTACTTGTTTACTGTCACTTTCCTCTGCAAATGTTTTAAGTTCTTGAGACTGATTAAATACTCCCTCCTATCCAATCTAACAGTCCTTGTTTAGTTGGCATGCTTATCTGGAGAAGATGAACATACTTGGATACTCTAGAAGTTTTCTGTCTTCTTGGCAAAGATGGTAGCTACTGTCCGTTAGTTGTCTAACATGATACTCAAATAAGGATCTTGGTAGAAATTATGGATTTAGAATGATACAACAGAATCATCGTTTAAGAACTCCCAAAAAACAATAGAACTGAACTGAGACATACAATCTTGATACGAAAATCTCTGGTTATCTTTTGTTTCCTGATAACGATATAAATGATCAGGTAACGTTGTACTGAAAACCAACACTCATCTCAACAAGGTTTATCTTGTTGCCTCTATGAAAACTTCAACTGTAGATGCTAAACAACCTCTACATACATCTATGGAACTCAAAATCCATATCCTGTTTTTCGGGGTGTAGTTTCTTAATATTGGACTAGGCCTTTGGAGGAACAACCACCATTAGAAGAACAACACTTCATTTGAATGTTATCCAACTTTTGATTACACTAAGGATATATATTATACATGAGTATCCTTTATATTTAGGCTTTTTTGGGTATGGATGGCAAAACTATTTCTTATGTTACATGTTTTAAAAAAAAAAACATTTTCTAGATGCCTCTTTAATCTTGTAGAGGCAACTGATAAGAGTACTATTACAGAGAGCTGTGGTGTAAATAATTTTAGACTTAGTCTACCAGAATTCTGCGCATTTCGCGAAACAAAAGAAGTATAAGATCCATATAGGCTAGACCAACTCGTTTAGTCTTAAGTAAGGTAACACACACATTAGGTTCAATATTTGCTTGAAGTCTTTTTAGTTTGTTTTGAGATCTATATGGCATTGTAGTTGTAGGGATAAATGTGACTGTTGGAGAACCTATAGTTTAGAGAGCTCTTAATCTGTCTTGAAAGATAAAACTATAAAGTGTTGTAATCAAATGAGACCAAACAGAGCACAAAGGATATAGATGATTCATTTGTCGATCCCACTTGGTACTGAGGTTTGTTGTAAAAAAGGTTAATTTTCTGTAAAATCTTTTTCTGAAAATCTTTTTCAATTTTTTACGCAACCAACATTAGAAAATGATTTTTGTTGATATCACCCAAGAAGCTTTTTATAGCATACCTAATAGGGCATTGATCCAGTTCTATATATCCATGTGGGTTTCCTAGACAAATATTTAAGTATCTACTATGAAATTAGGTGTATATTCTGGAATTAGAAAAGAGGGATGAGAATGTTAATCATTCAGAGTTCTTTGACTCAGTGTTCAGGGAAGCGTGAAGCGGAAAAAAGCGATAAGGCCCCGCTTCACGCTTTAAGCAATGAAGCGCTCACATACTCATTCTAGTCTGTGAAGCGTAGACGGCTCGCATCGCTTCGCTTCATCGCTTTAAGCGATGAAGCGCTCGCTTTCCTGAACACTGCTTTGACTTGATTAACAATTTTTCATATGTTAAATTTGGAAAGCATGCTTATTGGTTTACCGGTGATTCTACTGATTTAAGAAATCTGTTGAAGCCTGTCAATGTTAGTGAGCAAGGCAACACCAAGCTGGTATTATCTGCTTGTAAACAAGTGGTGAATGCTTATTGCTAAAAAGCTGGTATTTCTAATTTGCTTGCATTAATATTAAACTAGTATCCAGGCTAGGTTTTTCGCCAAAAAGTCTTGATAAAAATTAAACCTAGATAATTTGAGAAAATAAAACCGCTGATAAATCCAGAAGGATGTAATATCCCTATCTAAACTTTTGTCAACTATCCAGAAAGAGTTCCACTATTTAACACTGTTCTTGAGGTTTCAACATATTGCCAATTTTTAAAAAAAAAAAACTATTCTTGAAGTTTCAAGTAGTAACCTTCTAAAATAGAAATGTAGAAGATGGAGAATAGTGATGAACGGGGTTCATGAAGTGGGCTCCTATCCATGCATTCGAATTGGACTTAAACCAAATGAAATATATTTTCGTATTCAAAAAGAAGAGAAGTAGTAATTTCTTATTCTATCAAATGTGACCTTATTGGGATTTTAAAGTGGATACTTCATTTTAAATATGCTTGACTGCTTGGGCAATCAAAGTTACTAAATGAGAGTTTACTTATAATTGTTCAAGTCACAAAACAATACTCCTCATTCTTTATTAGGTGATATTTTCTTGATAACCAGAAAATTGAATTTATTACAGGGACAAAAATGCATGTAGCTAGAACATTAGTGTTTCTAATAGCAAGATAACCCTAAAACACGTTAAATAGTGTAACTATATCAGTTTTGAGATTGTCTGTTAAAGCTTTCTTAATAGATAATATGACGTACTATATGGTAGTTACCATCACTACATGGATACTTAATGTAATTTGTGGACATTATCAATAGAATTAAATGCAAAAACAATAGAGACATGTACATGAATGCATTTTCTACACAAAATCAATCCAACAATTGAGAAGATTTTTGGCAAGGCGCAGCTGTGAATGAATTTGCACATGTGGAGCATGTTATGTTTCTTATGCAGTACTACGGGGAGTGGGATGACGTATATGAGGACTGTTATTTCAGTGTTAATGGAGTTTTTGTTGGAGCAGATTGTAGTTTTTTCTGATTTTGTTTATGAAAACAATCAATTGGGGACTGATCTCGTTCGAAAAGGATAAGCGATTGCTGCGAATATAATCCGGCTTTTAAATCCGGAGTCGAATACCCCGGAGAACTAAGTTTAGCTATAATTATTCTATTTCTCTAAGAATATAAGTTTGAATAATTTTCGAGCATGAGGGTGTTGAGAAACAAGGTCAAAGAAGTCAATTGATTTTTACTCCCAGACACAGTTCCCAATGTTCTTTCTCTCTCCTACTTCCTGGGAGAGAGGAACCCATCTTTTCTGGCATCCTCTACCGGAATCAACCCTTTTTTTAAATAGCCAACAATAATCACCCACTGTGATTATTCCCACTAGTAGGATGGAGGAGAATCAAATCTATTTCAATGCTGGTTTCAAGTCTTTCGATATCACCAGATGGGAAACTGAGAAAGCTGAATGGTACAAGTGGGTAGAGAGAAGCAGAAAGATGATGCGCAGATTGTCCATGAGTAGAAATGTGTTGGAATGGATCTGTCTCTGTCTAAGAGAAGCATCCAAAGAAAAAAAGGAGACAAGGAGGTGGAAACTAGCTGAGCAAGAGGCAGTGCATTTTTGCACGAGAAAACATAATAAACATGGGAGGTTCATAAGCATCATAACTGTATATAGAGGGGGAAGGTCAGGCCTAATTATTCCTGAGTTGGCATTGAATGCGGGGTGGGTGGATGTTGCATTGAAGATTGACAGGTTCATTAAATGCAAGAAAGGAAAGGAGAAATACCCAGTACAAGGGTGGTTCTTGATTACCCATATGCTAATGCTATATGAGATAGTAAATGGCAATCCAGGAACCTATGCAGTGCAGAGGTCAAAAGCATTATTGGTAAGGTGGAAGTTCTAGATAAAATAAGTACCCAGGAGGGTGATCTGTTATCTAGATGCTTAGTTGGGTTTTGCAGTGAGAAGCCCAAGGAGAGGACAACTTTAGCAGACATAAGAAGATGGTCATCAACTAATTGGAAGAAAGCCTTTGGAATCAACATTTGTGAACTGAATGACGAGAAGTTTCTGTTTGAGTTCCCAAACAGAAACATGGCAGAACAGACCAAGTTGTGTTTGAGGAAGATGAAGTCCTTGAGACACTCAAGTTGTGTGCCTGGGACAAGGCCCCAGGCCCAGATGGCTTCCCAATGAGTTTTTATCAAAACTTTTGGGAAATGCTTAAGGAAGACATCTTGAGCACTTGAGGCAATTCCATGACCACCAAGTGTTTGAGAAAAGCCTAAATGCAACCTATGTGGCAGTGATCCCCAAGAAGGTGGGAGTTGTGGAACTGAGAGATTTCAAACCTATAAGCTTAATAGGTGGATTATACAAGATGATTGCCAAAGGTTAAAGAGAGTGATCAGGAAGCTTGTGAATAAACACCAGATAGCCTTCATAAAAGGTAGGCGGATCATTGACGCAACACTGATAGCAAGTGAGTGTGTGGACACTAGACTCAAAAGGAGATGATCTAGGAATTATGTGCAAGCTGGACATAGCGAAGGGTTATGATCATGTCAATTGGGGCTTCCTAATCAGGATTCTAGAGCAGATGGGTTTTGGGGAGAAATGGCTGAAGTGGATTGACTATTGCATAAAAACTATCAGGTTCGCCATTTTAGTGAATGGAGAACATGTTGGTTTTTCCCATCAGAAAGGGGTCCAAGGTAGGGAGACCCACCCTCTCCTTTCCTTTTCATCCTAGCCATGGAGGGCTATAATAGTATGATGAGAGTAGCTATCTAAATTCAGTTGGCTAAAAGGTTTCAAGGTTAGTAACTCTTTAGGAGGGGAAATGCAGCTTTGTCATCTGCTTTATGCAAGTGACACAATTATTTTCGGTGTAGCCAAGGCTGACCAGGTTGCCTTTATAAGAATGACTTTGGTGGTTTTTGAAGCAGTCTCTTTTTATTGTTTATCAGTAAATTGGAGGAAAACCAGCATCTTTCCAATTAAAGAAGTCCCTCAACTTCAGAGCCTGGCAAGGATATTGGGGTGTAAAATAGAACAGCCTCCCACAACTTACTTGGGCATGCCATTGGGAAACAAACATAAGGAGCTAGAAATGTGAGATGACATAATTGAAAAGACAGAAAAAATTGGCCAATTGGAAAGCTCAGTATATCTCTTTAGGAGGGAGAGTCACTTTAATAAACTCAGTGTTGGACTCTCTTCCAACTTTTGTTATTTCTTTATTCCCTATGCCTACCAAAGTGGAAGAAAGACTGGACAAACTAAGAAGAGATTTCTTGTGGTTAGGGAATAAAGAAGGGAAAGGTTTGAATTTAAGTCAAATGGCAGAATGCACATTTACATAAACAATCCGGTGGACTTGGAATCAGAAACTTAGGGTTGCAGAATAGATGCCTCTTGTCAAAATGGCTATGGAGGTTCAACACTGAGGAACAAGCTCTGTGGAGGGAGGTGATAGTCAACAAGTGTGGGTTGAATGGAAATTGGGTCTCTGGCTTTGTGAATAACACTTATGAGGTGTCAGCTTGGAGAACAATAAGAAACTTGTGGCCTGAACTAAGTAGAAACATAGCCTATAAGGTGGGAAATGAGACTAAAATCCTATCCTGGAAGGAGAATTGGAATGGATAGGAGAGAGACATTGATGGTCTTATTTCCAAACTTATTTTCCTTGTGCACCAATCTGGAAGAAACAGTGGCTAAGGTATGGTCTATTCATGGATGGAATATTGGGTTTAGAAGGCATTTAAATGACTGGGAGATTGGGAGAGTGGCTGAGCTATTACATGTTCTGAATGGGTTATTGGCAGAAAAAGATTCTATTGGGTGGAAACACTCTAGATATTAAAGCCTTTATGTTAACAAGCTAATATTAAGGAGGTGAAAGAGCATGCAGTTTGTAAGCTTGGACCTTGGAAGCAGACTTGGAGGAACAAGGTTCCAACCAAGATAAAGTGTTTCTCTTAGTTGGTTGCCAGAAGAGCATGCTCCTCACATGAGAAATTGAAAAGGAGAGGTTTCTATATTGCCTCTTGGTGCTCTCTCTATAATGAGACCGAGGAAACCAACCACCACTTGTTCCTTCACTATAGAGTGACAACATAATTGTGGAACCTTTTTCTAGGACTAACACTTACCGAATGGATTATGCTGGAGCATACAACAGATCTACTTAAATGTTGGATCAGCAGAGGGGGGGAAAATTCTAAGAAAAAGTGGAGTATAATACCATCATGCATTTGGTGGTCTATTTGGAAAGAAAGAAATAGCAGATGCTTTGAAAACAAGGCTAATTTAATAGAGAAAGTCAAATGGAATTGCTTGACTACTTTTTATATTTGGTGTAAAGAAGAAGGGATAGAAAAAGCTGCCCAAATTTTGGATTTTATAGGTACTTTGTAATCTATTAGCCTTATTGTTTTTTGTTTTTTTCTCTTGTTGGGACCCATTTTTCGGAGGTCTCCAACATATCCTTAATGCTGAGGAATACAACATTTTCTCAAAAACAATATTATTAGGCTACTCTAGTGGGCTCAGGCTACTTAAATTTATGCTCAAATCATAGAGGTCTTGATATCATATGGATAGAAGAAGAGAAGAAAATATAACTAATGAAAAAGTAGAAGAAAATATGATTTGCCCTGATAGAAGAAGAAAATGAAGAAAATTGCTGATAATTGATGAAGTAGTAGGTTGAGAAAATCTGCAGTAGAGAAGAAGAAAGGAAGAAAAATGTTTGAGAAATGATGAAGGGAAGAGCTTAGGGTTAATAATTGATTTTTTTTTTAAAAAAAAACAATACAAAATTAATGGGTCAGCTCATATAGTCGTTACATATATCATGTGGATGAAATTTTATGAGAAAATGAAGTTGTTACGTGCCTAGAAGCCATTGTATGCGAACACTTGGTCTAGTCAGTAACGAGGTGTGTTTCGATAAACATTTGGTGATAGTTCAGGTAGGAAACTTGCTCACCTAATAATTGAAGTATGAAACTCGAAAAAATTAGGATACTTTAAGTGTGTTTTTGACTTTTCACTATGAAATATACTTTTTGACTAAACTACCCTTAATTAACTATTATCTAATTAATTTTCTTGATTACATAAACACTCACTTATCTAAATAGGGGTAAATTCTGAAGGAAATAATTTATTCCTTTTTTATTATATAAGTGAACACTTTGAACCAAAATGAAAATGCTAAGTGGACATATTGAGCGAGTATGAGGCAAGTAAAGTCAATCCTTTCATATGAGGAATCCTAATAGATCCCCAATAGCTCACAAACGATGAATTCTTCCGCTGATGAAAAAAGCTCACATATGAGGAATTCTTCCGCCGGCAGAAAAAGCTCGACGAGCTTCCCTTTATTCATTACTAAGCCAAGGTCCCAAGTCTCCGAGTCAGTTTTTTCTACCCTAACTTCCTTGGAATTGAAATGTAATTGCATCATCAGGTACTATAATGTTGAATCTTCAACAGTTAGACTTGAATATTTTACGTCTCATAATTGTTCTCCATGCTTGCCTCTCTACCTCTGAGTTAGCGGTAAGGTCTGCATATACTCTATCCTCTTTATACCCTACTTTGTGGAACTACACTAGGTATGTTGTTGCAATAATTCTCTATGCTTTTGTTCAAACCTTCCATAGATAAAAAGCTAGATATTTAAGTGGAGAAGGGTAGTGAGGCAAGCCCATCATCTACCAAGTTGAACCATCCGCTTTTATTCCTTGCTTCCTAGAAAAAAATAAAAATAAAAATTCTACATGCTTTCGATGTCCAGTTGGAGGTTCCCCACCTTGTTAAAAGGCTTTACAAGTCCTTAGTGCAAAAAAAGCTAATATTTGGTGTATGAAGGCACAATAAGGCTATTATAGATTATATGCTCTAGTGATCAGATGATTCAGATACATCGGCTGTATTAGTGTGATTTATTATTAAGTGAATTGTTTTGTGTTCAGGTAGTTTCTATTTGCCTCAAGAAGGGGGCTTCTGCAATAGGACTCAAGGGCATGAAAGCGGTAAAAGCTATTCCTACCAATAAATGAAAATATTGTTTCTGTAAATGTTCCCCTGCTTAAGGTAGTGCTGTCTTCTTTAGGTTGCAAAAGATTATATGAAATGTGGCAGAGTCGGGATAGCAAAGCTCTCTCCAGGTGTTACTATCTACCTTTGTCCCCCGACCAATGCAATTTTCATTATTCTTGAAAAATACGGTTTCTTGAAGGGAACGGCAGCTGTGGAAGGGAACTCTCAGTTGATGATTGGTTGTGTTGTATGGCAGAAAAATCGAACAGCTTTGACTTCTGTTCTTAAAAAGTCTGAGGAAAAAGCTAATTCTTTGCAGGAGCAGCTTCAAAAGTCTCCATCTGATTCTTCTATGTTGCAAGGTGGGGGACAAGGTTCTTTATCTATGCCATCAGTTATGAACTCAAACCCATCTGCCCCACTGAGCTCTTTCTCAAATCTTGAACAAGCAAATGTCACTGATAACAAGAGTATTGGTATTGATTCTGCAAGCAGGACAACCTTAACAGCTTCAGGTGTGAAGTCACCACCTTTTCAGCAAAAAAAATCTGAACTTTCCGGCTCGCATCTTTGGGGATCTAAAGGGCACTTGTCGAGCAGTGAAGCTTCTTGTGTGCACCAGTCAAATGATGAACCACCCAAGGAAAGCAGGAACCTCCCAAAACCTGTAACATCATTGCTGTCCAATGCATCAAAACGAAAAATGGCATTTCCAGATGATGATGATGATCTCCCTGAGTATGACTTTGGAACTGCTAGCGGAATATCTTCAACTTCCCATCGTTCCTATGGATCCATTATCGGCAATAGGCTTCAACTTTCTGGAAGTAGAATTTTAGATATGTCTAAACAGCCCACCAGACCTGTGGCACCTTCAGCTTGCATGACTATTCCTAGGTCAGTAATATCGATCAGTAAAGAGATGCCCCTAGCTAGAAATGTTAATGACTATAGTCAACTGGTCACTGCTTCTAGGCAAATGGAAGGAAAGCATTACAGCCAAAGTCATGCTATTCCAGTGACAGTTCCTGTTCGTGCATATGGTTCACCGATGGTTCCGTTTCATAGCTCGGGTAAGAAGAACTTACTTTGTGATGATGATATTCCTGAATGGTTGCCGCCAGATGCTCAGAATGAAAGAACAAATGAACCACCAAAGACCTTTCCACCTGCATACCCTACCTCGAGAATGTTGTTGCCTCTTCCTACAGGATCAGTGTTTCCTTATCCATCTTCTGCCCCTACCCATAACAGTTTTTCTTCACAACCATCTCCTCTATATCATCTGCCTGCCAATTCCAGAGTGCCACCCCCCATGCCCTCTCAAAAAGGTCCTAGTAATTTGATAGGATTCACCTTTAACCCAGTTCCAAGGCCACAGTCTAGTTCCCGTGCTGCTGCAAGTTCGTTGAAGCCTGCGGATAAAAGAGTAAGGAGGTCTTGATACTAGCTTGTAAACTCAATCAACAGTAAAATGATTCTTCGATAATTGTTCAGTGACATTCTGAAGCTGTAACTATGCATGGACAGCTGGTCAGGTTCATGGATAGCGGAGTAAATTGAGACAGTCTATAGTTGGTTTTCTTTCTTCTTATTCCTTCATGTGAAGTCTACAATTGTTTGTTGTGAACGGGATTTTCTGCATCTTATACTTGCTTTGTTTAGTGACTTAATTAGCTGTGTTATTGATTTTCTTAATTTCCTTTTCCCACCCCCCCACCCCCCC